ACTAACATGAATCTCGTGAGAGAGTTTTCTGACCTCATGCAGGGCGAATTCGAGATGAGTATGATGGGGGAGCTCACATACTTCCTCGGCCTGCAAATTAAACAACTCCAAGAAGGGACATTCGTGAGCCAAACAAAATATTGTTTGGACTTGATCAAGAGATTTGACATGGCAAAATCCAAGGCCATAGACACCCCAATGCCTACATGCGTAAATTTGGATAAAGATGAAAATGGCAAGGACGTAGAGGTAAAACGATATAGAGGTATGATTGGTTCACTTCTCTATCTTACTGCGTCACGTCCTGATATTATGTTTAGTGTGTGCATGTGTGCACGATACCAATCATGTCCCAAAGAATCCCACCTAAAAGCTGTTAAACGAATTCTTCGATACCTGTCAGGTACCCCGAAGTATGGATTGTGGTATTCTAAGGGTAGTGATTGCTCGTTGGTAGGTTACTCCGATTCCGACTTTGCCGGGTGCAAATCGGATAGGAAAAGCACTAGTGGTACATGTCATTTGTTTTCAAACTCCTTGGTTAGTTGGCATAGCAAGAAACAAGTTTCAGTTGCTTTATCAACGGCCGAGGCGGAATACGTTGCCGCTGGTAGTTGTTGTGCTCAAATTCTGTGGATTAAGCAACAACTACTAGATTTCAATCTTAAACTTGAACGTATTCCTATCCTATGTGACAACACTAGCGCTATTAACCTTACCAAAAATCCCGTATTACACTCTCGCACTAAACATATAGAAATTCGACACCATTTTCTTAGGGACCATGTTGAGAAAGGTGATGTTGTATTTGAACACGTTGACACTAAAAACCAACTAGCGGACATTTTCACAAAGCCGCTAGCAACGGAACCTTTCTTTCATATCCGCCGAGAACTTGGCATCCTCGACATTTCGGAACGGGAATAATATTTGCTGATGTTATCTTATTTCATTCAAATAATCATGCTGTTGTACTTCTAACAATTTGATATTCGTGTAAGTACAAGTATGTTGTTTATCAAGCTACTCCGGCATTAAGGTGATATTGTTCCATTTCTCTCTCTCTCTCTCTAATAACTCTCATGATCAAAAATTGTATCGTTTGACCTATGTTGCATATGTATGACATTTTTTTTGTATGATAAATTGTTTGGATGCAAATTTTTTTGTGGCATTTTAGGTAGGCATCAAATATGGCTTGATATGTGACATTAAGTGCAAATCTGCATTTGTGCATCCGAACTGAGCTACACACCAAATCTGAACAGTTCAACTCTTTTTCAACAAGAATGAATGAAAGATTTGCAGCTTTCACAACTGCCCATGGATACCAAGAAACAGCCGTCTCTCGCAGCATCAATCGCCTGAATCAAGCAGTGGATTACCTCACTGATATGGCTGATCCATATCGTTATCTGTCTTCCTTTGATATGGGCAAGGGACAAGGATATTAGTCATGTGTTTTTGCATTTGCTCATTCTCCATGTTGTTTTTGTTATCATGTTCTGTTTTATCTCTCCTAAGTGCACACTAATGTTTGTTTTACAGTCTTGATTCCTATAAAATGTTATGACTTATGTGTCCTTAATTTGGTTTAATCTATTTTTAATATTTTGATCATTGTCAATATTTTGTGTGGATATTGGTATATGATTACTTATAGCCTGTTGAGTATTTTGTTGATTGTTAATATGCCAAAACTTTACCTTTCTCCATCTCTTTTTGATGTTGTCAAAGGGGGAGAAAAGACAAGTAGATTGTAGATCACAACAGCTATGACTGTAAAAGAAAGGGGGAGCTTACTACTATGTTAAAGATATCGCATGCTGTGTTCACCAAGCTTCGCATAGGTTTGTCATCATCAAAAAGGGGGAGAATGTGAGGGAAAACTGTCTCACAACATACGTTCTCAAGTTTCGATGATGACAAAGTACATCCTCGGATGAATCGGAGTCGTCATGCATACTTACGATGATGACAAAGTACAACCTCGGATGAATCAGAATCGTCATGCAATACTTAACATATTACATCCTTCCTATATCCTTTTAAATCATCATATTTCATTGGCAATATATGTGACTAATGTTTGGTCGTGACAAGATGCACGAAACAACAAACATATCAATTTTTGCAGGTTTTGTAGCTATGAGTCAACCATACCACTCAGCGCATGAAGCTGTGTATTCCCCACGGGTCAGCGCATGGAACCATGCGTCGACCGTTAACTTGGCGCATGCAGGTTTAAGAATCAGACGGCTCAGCGCATGAAGATCATGCGTCGACCGCTGACTCGGCGCATGACAGTTTGAGTGTCACACGGCTCAGCGCACGCCGACCCTATGGTCGACCGTTCGCGCGCAGAAACAGAAATTCTGCTATGTTTCTTTGATCTGTCAACTGTCTGTTTTGTGTATTACTATAAATAGCTGTCTTTTCAATTTTAACAACTAACATTTTCAATAACATTTTTGAACATTTTTTTTACAACATTTTTGAAAGCATTGTGAGAAAGTGTTCAGGTCAAGAAACGTGAAAGAGGTGCATCAGTGTTCTTCATCTTCATCGTTCAATCAACTCACAAATCCTCAAATTACAGATAATCAATTTTTTGCTGCGGTTTGTGGTTTGCTCGACGATGATAAGGTTCGAACGCGTGATTGAAGATCCGGTTCGAGTGGAAGCTGGTGCAGGTGTTTCTTGGGAGAAAACCTTTGAGGTTTTACCTATCAAGACTACAGGTTTTGAAGGCTTTTGTTACGGAATCGTCGGTTCAACAATCAAGCGAGTGCGAAGGTGATTGATTAGCGGAAGGTTGATCAATCTAGTAGCTAGGGCGTTGAAAGGTTGAAGACGTTCCGGGTTCAATTTGGGTGTGTCTAAGATCAGCCGTGCCGAAGGTTTGATCAACGGAAGAGTTGTCAATAAGGTGGCTGCAATCGGAGGTCATTCACATCAAATTGGAGGACTTGATTCATCTTGAATCAAGGGGCAAGAAGTGGTAGAAATTATCAGCAACATTAAGATTGTTTGTATCAATTGTCTATCGATTCTTGTGTATAACTGTTCTACCAAACAGGTGATATCTATTCAATACATATCTCAATTCTCTTTGTAGAATTGAGGGCAGACGTACCCCAACGCGAGGACGACTGGGGGAACTGCCTCATCAAATCTTGTGTTCCTTTATTTTCTGCATTTTCAATTACAGCTTAAAAATTAAGTGATTCTAGAATAAGTGATTTTGTCAAATTGTAGTATTGATTGAGTGAGTTGGTGAAACACTGTTTTTTAACTACTAAGTACAATAGAAATACTGTACTAAGGCTTTTTCAATCACTCATTCAACACAAATATCATTTAAGGTATTTGTGCACACCAACTGTTCGACAAAAGTGCTGAACTAAAATTGCCTTAATTTTGCTGCTAGTTTTGTGCACACCAACTGTTCGACAAAAGTGCTGAACTAAAATTGCCTTAATTTTGCTGCTAGTTTTGGTGTAATTTTTTATCATTGGAATAAGGAAATAGTACGAGTGAATCACATCTGAGTTTTGCATAAAAGTGTGTAGTGATTTACTATCCGTTATCGTCTTAAATTCATCTGCTTGACGCATATCCGGCTCTCCAATAGTGGTTCGTTTTAGACTATATTTTCCAAGGCCGCTTCCGCATTTGAAAACAATTTTGAAAACCAATTTTATTGGTAGCGCCACTCAAATTTTTAAAAGGGATCTATTCAACCCCCCCTTCTAGATCCATGCCTTAGTCTAACAGTTATACTCTAGATGGTTGGCCTGTAGATCGCGTCTCACTGCTCCTCATCTTCCCGAGCGCGTCATGTGGCAGTTTGGCTACACTCAGACTCTTCCCAGACACTTTGTTGTCCCTGCTCCTCCTGCCTTGACACATATGCAGATAGAAGAGATGTTTGGTGATTATGAGAGTCATCTGGTACCGGAGGAGGCACGAGCCACCATAAATGAGAGCGATTGGAGCTACGTCGACGAGTACATCAAATGGTTCTTCAGGGTGTCACATTCATACATGGTGCATGCTCCTCTAGGAGATCCGCCAAGATCAACTCATTAGGAGATATTAGAGGATGAGCAGACTCAGCTAGATCATACTGATGATGTCTTGCCTAGGTGTCATCGCATAATGGAGATTGTGTGGGCAAACATTAACGAGGGTATCTTCCCTGATGGGTCTGGTGTCAGGCGACTCCTAGTTACCATCATGGCAGAGGCATATGGGGCATTGTAGTACCGAAAACATTGTTGGAGGACTGGAGAGATTGATTGCTGAGGAGGTAGAGCAGGCAGATGTGGTAGATGGATGTTAGACACACATAGTAGTAGTCTCTTTTTATTTTGTTATAGTACTATACTATATACTTTATTTTGACGATCTTACTACATTTTAAATCTCGATTGTATGATATTTTTTATATATATTGCTATTTTATTTTTGACATACACAATAGTAGTTTTTTATTACTTTGTACGTCAATTTTTTTATTTGCGATTATATGTTAAACTTCCTCTGCACACAGATAGTATTAAATATTTGTTCGACTATATTCCGGTTTAATTCAAATGTAATGACTTATGAGTGAATTGTGCTGAATGTTTAAAATGGTTTCTGAAATGTATTTTTAAAATATTAATATTTATATAAAAATAAATAAAAATTTAAATAATTCCATACGGTGATTAAGAAGTATTTAGTATTTATAAGAAATTATTCTGCTGAATAATTTGGATAAAAAATTTACTAAGGTGGTCTCACAAATTTTCCAACAAATTAAATGTGTCTTCTCACCTTTGTCCCGCTGCCAAGCTGCTGCTGTCGACCCTCGCCGCTCCGTTGACAGACTACTCCGTCAACTGCAGTCTGCCGTCTACCGCCACTGCTCCGTCAAGAGCTTCCGTCGACCCGCGCCGCTCTATAGACTAGATTCAAAGGCCTGCATCAGTTTATGAAATAGAAAAAACATGATGAAATTCCTTAAACCCTTCAATCCCAATTCCTTTCACCACCATCCCAAAGCACTATCAAATTTCTCCCTTCTCACCACTCCCCCAACCCAACCAATCACCCAAACAACACTCCTCAATTCCATCAAATCTTCTCATTGGCATTTCATCAAACACCTTGCTCCCCACCTCACCCCTTCCCTCCTCTCTTCCACTCTTTCCAACCTCCACCAAAACCCAACCCTCGTACAAACTCTCCTCTCCCACCTTCACAACAATCCTCATTGCCTCGACCTCACCACCCGATGCATCGCCCTCTGCATCCTTTACCGCCTCCCATCCTCCACCCCCTCTCACCAAATCCTCCACCCTATCATCCACACCACCGCCCCCGCCGTCCTCTTCAACGAACTATCACTAGCTCGAAACCATCTCAATGCAAAAACCACCTTCGTCTTTGACATTCTCCTTATTTCTTATTGCCATCTCATGAAACCCAATGAGGCTCTTGAGTGTTTCATCTTGATGAAAGAAAATGGAATTCTCCCCAATACCGAGACTTGCAATCAGGTTTTGAATATGTTTCTTAAACTCAATAGAACCAAAATGGCATGGGCTTTTTACCAAGATATGTTTAGGATGAAGATTAAATCAAGTGTCTTCACTTTCAACATTATGATCAATGTCTTGTGTAAAGATGACAAATTGAAAAAGGCTAAGGAGTTTATCGGCCACATGGAAGTTCTTGGTGTGAAGCCTAATGTTGTTACTTATAATACCCTTATAAATGGATACTGCTTAAAAGGTAAGTTTCGAGAAGCTCGTTTGATTTTTCAGACTATGAAAGATAAAGGTCTAAAACCAGATAGTTACACCTATAATTCTTTTATTTCGGGGTTGTGTAAAGAAAGACGGATTGAGGAGGCGTCTGATTTACTTTGTAAATTGTTGGAATCTGGATTGGTTCCTAATGCTGTAACATACAATGCTTTGATTGATGGGTGTTGTAATAAAGGGGAATTGGATAAGGCTTTTTCGTATAGGGATGAGATGATATGTAGAGGTATAATGCCTTCTCTTGTCACGTATAATTTGTTTATTCATGCAATGTTTTTGGAGAAAAAGTTGGTGGAAGCCGATGATATGATCAAGGAAATGCGAGAAAAAGGGATGGAACCTGATGTTGTAACATATAACATAGTGATTAATGGGTATTGCAGATGTGGGGATGCGAAGAAAGCCTTCACCCTTTATGATGAAATGGTAGAAAAAAGGATTAGACCGACATTGGTAACATACACGTCGCTTATTGATGTTCTTGGGAAAAGGAATAGGATGAGCGAGGCAGAGGAGATGTTTAAGAAGACTAAAAAAGAAGGTCTGCTGCCAGATATCATAATCTTCAATGCATTGATTGACGGTCACTGTGCAAATGGTAACATCGATCGTGCATTTCAACTCTTGAAAGAGATGGATAGTGCAAAGGTTGTTCCTGATGAAGTCACTTACAATACTTTGATGCAAGGGTACTGCAGAGAAGAGAAAGTGGAAGAAGCTCGAAAACTTCTTGATGAGATGAAGAGAAGAGGGATCAAACCTGATCATATTAGTTACAATACACTTATTAGTGGTTACAGTAAAAAAGGTGACATGAAGGATGCTTTAGAAGTTTATAATGAAATGTTGTCTATAGGATTTCATCCTACCATTCTTACCTACAATGCTCTTATTCAAGGCTATTGCAAAAACGGTGAAAGTGTGTATGCTGAAGAGCTTCTCAGAGAAATGAAACGAAAAGGCATTACTCCTGATGACAACACGTTCCTATCTTTAGTTGAGGCAATTCAGACAAATGACGACCTAGTGGAAAACGATGATAAATGAGTTTGTGCTTATCTTCATTTCCCGGCTTTACTTGTAACTAAGTCTAAATTCTTGGTAGTTGAAACCCGAAAAATCTATGAACTAATTCATGCTTCATTCATTACCCTATCAGAGAAACTACATTGTATTTCTTTTTCCAATTTTAAATGTTTCTACTGTATTTTGTTTGTACAAGTATACTTCAGTGCTATTTTCAAATTGATTACTTGGTATTTGTTATAAGTTTCATTTTGTGAAAACATGCTATAACAGTTTAACAGTACCAAACATAAAAAACAACAGATAAACTAATATAATCACACGTGAATTTGTTTATTATTTAACTTTGTATGAAATAATGCTGCCAAATTCACCACTTCAAAGATGATACTGACACTTTTGTCTCTATCTGATAAATGACCACAATCTTCTCTAAAGAAGTTGCAACATAAAAGCTAAACTTTTCAATGGATTTTCTAATATATATCCATATAACTTGAAGTGGAAGTAACAGTCCATGCTTGATCTACCCTTGTTTATGCCACTTTTCAGTCATTCATTGGCCAAGTTAGTTTTTCTTCTCTGTAATGTTATGAAACCGTGTTCTAACTCCTAACTCCTTCTACTTTAAATATACTTTTTCTTGGTCAAGAAGCTAAAGTTAAAAATGACATTATTTTGAATTTGAAAGAAGTTACAAAATAATAGACACCAAAAGCTTGTCTCTTTCCCTATCACTGACTTCTTTCTACATGAATTTCATGTAATGGAGAATCAACTTATTTTAATGAGTGGGGGAACATCATGGTTGCCACATGATTTCATTGGAGAAATTTTACTCTCCACACAACCCAAAGGACAAGTTCACAAAGAAAAGAAGGTTGCATATGTAATATGTTGATTGTTGTTACATCTAGTGCTTTTTTATAAAAAAGTTATCTTATCTCTTATCCTCCAATCTCTGATGCAGATTTCCAATTATAGTTCACAGTTTTGAAGAAAACAACAGGTCTATGATACCATTACTTCGGGATAGTGTCTGTATGAGATAGTTTTAGTTTGAGTCCTTTTATTTTAATCAGAGGTTATGAGTTTGAATTTAGCCTTGTGTTAAAGCTGAGTTAAAGCTTTTGAGAGAGTTTTACTTGACTATTATAATTTGTTCTGCCAAGAAACTAAAAATGTTTGGTGAAATGATGGAGTAGAATCTTGACGTGGCAGAGTGGATCTCCGATATGACGGTGCAGGAATGAACCTGCAAGATTAACACTTTAATGTCCAAGTCAGTAAAAGAATGATGAGTAAAGTGAGTTGTAAGTTGAGAGAGTACCTCAAGTCTCACTTGGGATGCCTTATATATGAATGATGGTTATGGACATCCTCTGTCATTTTGGCATGGTGTGAGAGGCCGTCCGATGATATCTAACGGTAGGCATATCGGTAGGCAGCAGCCTCCGGCGTATATCTAGTGTGGAGCACCAGAGCAGGGTTACTCTCTGCCTTCGGTGCATTGGTAGAGTGACTTAGACTGATGACTGAGCCTCCTTATTTAGGGTCAGTGACCGGCCCAGAACATTTTTCTATCTGATTCGAGAAATTAATCTCAACAATTGGGTTGCGTAAAAAGAATATCTTAGTTTGGAAACGAAAATAGGTTACTTTAATTACTGATGAAGTGGTGTCTCCATTTTCATCTTATTTCATGATGTTACTCAAAATTTAGGTTCTCTTTTCTGTTTGTGGAAATACATGCACCATGCACTACTCAGTAAAATGTGTGGACTAATCACATCATATAATTATAAAGTACCTTTTATCCAAAAAAAAAAAAAAATTGATGTATGTAATCCGTGCAAGCATCATTTTCCTAATGCTTTCATTATATTTAAATAAACAAACCAAGTTAAATAATTGTTCAATTCTGAAGAGAAAAAAAATAGAAGTTCTCATGGGACTGTTTTTACCACACTTTGTGCAAGGGTTAGCCCTCACATTTCTTGGCCTATGGCACATAATCAACACAATCAAATCTTATCTTGTGAAAGGTCCTTCAAATTTCACTGTAAGATTTTGGTTCCAAATCAACACCTTTCAATGCAAATTCAAACACTTGGAACTTGTTTTAATTTTAATCTTTTCTGTTCTAGCATTTCTCAGACAAATCATAGATTTCCCTTATTTTCACTATGCTTTTAAGCTTGATAACTTTGAACATGCAACTATGTTCATACACCTTGCTTTGTTTGCTGGTTTTTCATTTGCTACTGAGTTAACCGATTCGCTCGAACTCTTTTCTGGATTTATCGGGATTTTTGTATCCTCGGTTTTCAGTCAAGAGCTTTTCTTACTCCATTTTCACTCCACTGATCATGTTGGACTTGAAGGTCATTATCACTGGCTGTTACAGCTTATAGTTTTTGTTTCGCTTGTTGCAGCTCTGGCTGCAACTGTTTTTCCCAACAGTTTCAACGCAGCGATTGTACTTTCGATTTCGGTTATTTTTCAAGGATGTTGGTTTATAAACATGGGATTTATGCTTTGGATTCCGGCATTTGTTCCTGAAGGATGTGTGATGAATATGGCTAGTGAGAAAGGTAGTGAAATGCATGGAGCAGTTACATGTGGAACGAAAGAGGCCGATTTTCGAGCTAGAGGTCTAGCCAATTTGCAATTCAGTTGGATACTTTCTGCTATTATGATATTTGCAGGAGTTGTATGCTTGAAATTGGCTAGAAAATTTACGATTGTAAGCCGGTTGGAATATGAGAGAATTCAAAGTAAAGTTGTAGATTCTACTGCGGTTAACGATGGTTTCAAGCCGGGAAATTAAATTCTCGGACGCGGTATGTGTGAATGGTATAAACCCTGAGTATCGAGTTCGATTCCTACTCATAAAAAAAACTGTCCAGGTGTTTGGACTTTTTAAGGTTTTGAAGCTATGCAAGAGACTCATTATGTAAAACTTAATAAGATGTACTATAGTGTGTTTTATGTTAGTTCATGTTTATATAGGTTTGGTGTCTAGTAATCTTTTGAGATTTATAACTTGTACGAATCATGTTATCTTTGGATCTTAATTGCTCATAATGAGATACCAAATTGAAGACAAAGTATATTGATTAATTTCAAAAGTGCAATATTTCTATGTTTGTGAATTTGTTCTAACTTCTAGCAAGTTCAGCTTTTAAAGTTGATCAAAAAAACTTCACCTTTAAAATAACCAAAACTCAAGAGCTGAATTTCTTAATAAACATAAAATTTGTTTATAATAGGGAGGGGCTCCATATGTAGATTTCATATGGTGAAGGAACTCTTGAACCACAACAATGTTATGTTATTTAGACGTTGACAGTTAGGAAAACACTTACTTTGATAACTACTAACAAGAAATTGAATTGAATGTAACTAGTTAATTAATTTGGTCAGTCACACTAATATAACAAATTTGTACTATATAATAACTCATTTTTTGAGCCACGAGTTTTATAATAGTGTTGTAACTTGTAAGAGACATTACATAAACTTATGGGACAAAGTTTTTTTTTCCATGTCCTAATATTATTTTATTTGATCTGGTAACATATCTTTTTTTTAGTGCAGTCGCTTAACGAAGATTTGGTGGCGAATTTTGGCGTCTTCTTGTTCTGGTCTGATCGGGAGTGGGGGGCTACATATACTTGGATGCTCAAGTTGCTGTTTTCAGTAAATAAGAGTTTTTAGTGTTAGAATATATCTGAGAATGATGTGTGATCCACCTTTTATAGTAGGATTTTCAAGGATCAAGAACCTCAGATTTCCTACAACTCTCACTCTCTGAGAGGACATGTGTAAGAAAATCTCTGAAAGTATGTTTTGACGGTCCTATGCGTTATACAAACTCTGATTCGATGTCCTTCTAGGACAAGAAGATCTTAAGGTTACGTTGCATTAGAACATTCTAGATAACCATTCTAGAGGATTGATGACAACGTTCTGACATTAGTGAGATTAATTGTTTGCTCTGATTCCTCTCGGAACCTTTATTTGTTTTAGTCTTATACGACATTAGAGTGAGATAGTTCCATGGACTTTAAAACCTTTGACTTGTTTTGGAATATAGATTTTTTGAAATTATTGGTTTGTTTTGACGTCCTCAGATAAAGAGGGTCATCCCAAGGTTGTAAGTATGTAGACGTTTCTTCCTAATTAGTGTGAACCTTTTCCTAAATACATGTGCGCTTATTGTTTCTTTTATCTCATCCAATAAGTTATTAAAGAGTTCATGTCTCTTGTCGGTGCGACCTTATTCAAGGATAGTTTATATCGGCTAACATATTATCTATTTATAGGAATTTGAGGATTTTTGTCTCTTGTTTCTTTGTCACTTGTACTTGTCAAAAAGTACAAATGCGTAGCACCCCTTTGCTGATAGGGGTGACCAGAGACTTTAAGAATTTTTCGTGGTTTAGGGCTTGCTCTCGATAGTGAGAAACCTTGTTTGATGGTGTTTTTGGTATGGATAAAGAAAACTCACATGAGGTGAAAAAAACTGTATTTTGGGAATATTTTGTATGTATTCAGAATATCCCATCCTCAACCCTAATGTTGAAGTATTTATATAGCCTTTTAGACTTGGTTTGAGGGAAGTTACTTCCCTTTCACTACTAGATCATGGGGAGGGCAAATTTATTTCTCCTTTGACCCATTCTTCTAGTTCATTGTAATGAGACACATCATCTCAGAGGTGTAGCAAGTTTCAAAACTTTTCACACCTAAATGATTTGATGAACACCATTGAAAATTCTAGATATCCTGAGAAAGAAAAGGAAAAATAAAGAGTCACTATAACTACTAGAATTAAAGGTGCTCTCATAACTCCGAAACATCCCTATTTTGAGGAGCATGCAGTCGATTATTCCATCTACTCGCCATGCATTATTCATATAATTCCATAAGTTTTCTATCATTGAAAGCTTCAATCATGTTACCCCTCTAGTCTAACTCATTAATGATCACAATTTCTAGAAAAATAAAAGGAGGGTGGGGAAAGGGAAGAGGACGTTATACCTGTTTGCAAAGAAAGAGGATGAAGCTAAGCTTGAAAAGCTTTGAATGTAACTTGCCTTGCCAAAGTGAAAACTCTGAAATATCGTAGATATAAAATGTTTTGAGGTTCTCATCTTATAGGACCAAGAACTTATGTTGCATATGCCATGATGGTCTCCTCTTAGGTGCACAGTAACACTTGCAAAGAAAACCATCTTCCTTCCTAACACGTGTAAGGGAATCATGGGTCCTTAAAAGACTTAGCTTTCCAAGACATACCCATCACGAGAAAAATTTAATGTTCCATGTGCTTTCTTAAGTGAAGCTTGAGGAACTCGCCACAATCTTCGTTTGATGGACTCACATAATCATTAAGATGGCAGTACACTTGAATTAAATCATTTTGATATTTCCAAGGCATCATGCTTAAGGGAGTGTGAACTAGGATTATTTATTGGGCCTTAAAAGAGATGTTCCATGATAAAATAATCCATGGCGAGAGCGGACTAATTACAGTCCAAAATGGGTTTAGTCCCCCAAAGTGGACTTAGTCGCCCAAAATGGGCATGAGCACCCGAAGTAGGATTAGTCGCTCGAAATGGGCCTAAGCGCCTGAAGTGGGATTAGTCTCCTAAAATGGGCTTGAGCACCCGAAGTGGGTTTAGTCTCCTAAAATGGGTTAAAGCACTTGAAGTGGGCTTATTCGCCCAAAATGGGTATAATTTCCTGAAGTGGGTTTAATCACCTTAACTAGTATATAAGGTCTATTTTGCTTAATACACATGGCCCATGAGGTGATTAAGTAGAAACGGCCTTGAAGTATCATTTAAAGGGTGAAAAATTTCACCCCCACAATTTTGAGAAGAGTTGGTCTTCCCTTTCTCCCACGTTCATGATGAGGAAGTGGGAAAAACCACTTCCCCTATCTCTGGGGTCCTCTATATATAACTCAGTCTCACAATAGGGAAGATGGATCCACAAATTCCAGAGATAAATACACAAAGTTTCTTACAATCCCTACGTGATCTCTCTCTCTCTCTCACACACACACACACACACACACGCGCGCGCGCGCGCACATGCACGCACATATGCACGCGCGCACACACACACACACACGCACGCACACACGCGCGCACACACACACACACACACACCTATTATACTTTTAGCAAGAATAAGTTTCAAGTGTTGTGTTAAAGTTAGTGTAAATTTTGATTTAAGATGTCACTCAAACATGTGTAACTCTTAGTGACATGAACAAACTTTCTTAATTGTGTTATTTTTATAAATTTTGATACAAAGATGTGAATAATGTTGATTTTTTTCATTGAATGCAATTAATTTAAAGGTAAACTATAAAGAGTAAAGTTATGTTTATGATGTTAAGTAAAATTTATAATATAATTAACGTATATATCAATTTATTTAATATCACAAGGTAAATTGTTATTATAAACGTGGCCTATTTTATCATATAAATTTGTGGAATCATGTTTTTGCAAGACAATCAAAAGGTGATCAAAGCTAAAAGATAACTATCGTGGTTTGTTATTGATGATGTGCTTTTCATGATGACAACTTGGGTGACAACTTTGATTATGAAAACTTGAATGAGAACTTGGTTTAACTAAAAACTTGTGAAGAAGCAAGCATAATGTCAAGCAGTCAAAGATTTATACAAACGTTTGTTCAAATTTTTTCTCTGAATCAATATAATGAACTAGGGTTTTAATGGTCTATATCCTTTGATGATGACATTCAACTTAAATATATCTCAAGTCTCGTCTCCAAGAAGACTCAATCAAGTGATTATATGATTGGCTTATTTAACAAAATCTTGAAGCTTCGAAGTGTGAAAGCTCACCCAATCGAGTATGAGTGGTCGGTGTTTTGTAAAAAAACAAGGGAATTATTGTAAAGTAGTAATGGATAAATCACACACACTAAAACATGATTTAAAGCCTCTATTTCTCAAATAAAATTACCTAATTTTTTTGGATTCGTGCAAGATGAATCAGGAACTATCATAATAGGTTGGACAAGTTTTTTGAACTATCCAATCAGTTGGGACATTTTCCAAATCGATTTGGTAAGTTCAAGTTGTGTTCTTAATCGATTAGGACAATATCTTATTTACTGGAAACATCTCTTTATTAAAAATTTCCAAAATGATTTTTTTCTAATAGATTATTTGACTCACTTAATCAATTAGCTTGAGGACCCAACTGATTGGGACATTAATTTGGCCTAGAGATTTTTTATTTTATGTGTTAACCTCTAGCATATAAATATAGGTATATTCCTTCACATTTTTAAATCCAGAATTGTGAATTATCTATCTCACTTCTCACTCTCTTTATAAATATATTTTCTACTTTATCTCTCACTATAATTTAAACATTGTGCTTCGAGAAAGTCTTAGTGTTTGGTGAGAAAATTTATATTCTAGAAATGGTGATATTGTAAATTCACCAATGCATATTTTTCTCTTGTTTTGTTATTTTTCCATTAAGGGAATGTTTATTTGGGTTCAAAGCTAAACCCGTTAAAAGCTTTATTTAGGTATTTAAATTTTAATTCGTCGGTTCGGTCCAAGAGCTCATTCTGTGTAAAAGTTCCACTTGGGTTGAGATTAGTCTGGTGTAAAATCTCAAGTAGTTTTGAAAGCTTAACCTATGTTAAAGCTTCACATTGATTTGAGATTACCTTGGTGTAAAATCTCAATTCCATTTGAGGTTAGTATGAGTAAAACTCTAGTTCGACTTAGGGGATACTAAGTTCAAAAATCCACCTTTAATTCTA